ATGTTGAGCAGACTCGGACAGTCCAGAAAATTTCCTACCGAGATGCTGTGAAAGTTGTCAATAGGACTAATCCCTCTAAAAGTGCACAGAGCCAGCTAGAATTATTAAATCACTCTCCTTATCCTAATAAGGATAATGCACATAACAAAACCATGCAAGTGAGAGGCCAAGGGACCTCTATGCAGTCAGTTGCCACACAAACTCTGGGTGGCAATGAGCCTCCTTTTGCCCTATGTGGGGAAATTTCTGTTACTAAATTAATTGAACTGCTCTCGAAAGTTCTGTGCTTGTGTGGCAACACTGCCAATATTGATATTGTTGAGGCAGTGACAAGGATTGCCAAAGAAACATTCAATGCTTCAAACCTGCCTACTCCTCTAGAAAGGGTGGAAAAAGATATTGAACCAACCTCTGAATTTCAAACTGCTCCCTCTTTTAGAGGAATCAGAGCTGAACCTGCTGATAATGATATTGAAATGGTGGATTCTGAATTGGAGCCCTCACCTGTCATTGGTGGCCAGTACTTGCTAAGAAATTCAAAACATTCCAATAGACCCCAGCAAACCACAACTATTGGCAGTAAGGTTACTAAGCAAACAGCTACACAGCGTGGCATTGGCTCTGGCCTTAGGTGTGCAGATCTGACATCATCCTTGGATAGCAGTGCAGCTAATATTCAGCCTTCTCCTATCATAGGAGGCCATTTTGTGCACCAGGAAAATGCTCCAACAAAGTCTGACCCCCCTGCATTTCGTGATGCCAAGTCACATGTATCTGGAAGCAGGAACCAGGGAGGAATACACAAAGGCTCAGCAGCACAAGAAGACAACCCCAAGTGCCTCTCCAAAAAGAAATAAAAATCCAACAATGGAACTGCCATAGCCTAAGGAACAAACTTAGCAACTTTAAACTCCACCTGTACTCTACAAAACCTCACGTTGCCTGTCTGAGCGAAACCTGGCTTAACCAAAACACTGAACCTCATTTTATAAATTACTCCACAGTCTTTAAGCATAGAGATTGTGGACTGGGGGGTGGAGGTTTAGCCATACTAATCCGTAGTGACATCTCATTCCTTGAAATTCCTCTCCAACCTTTTCCTGCTGGTGCCCTGGAAGTCCAGGGCATTAAGGTTTTCCTGAAAAACAGTTCTCTCTCTGTAATGAACATATACAATCCAAATCAACCAGTCACCTTTAATGAATTGCAGCACTATTTTCAACAGTTGGGGCCCTCAGCAATTATTGTTGGAGACTTTAATGCTCATCACCCCTTGTGGGAACCTTCTAGGGCACCCAACACCACCGGTAGGAACTTGATGGATGTCTTGTTACAAAATCCTATGCTGGCTCTCCTTACTCCTCCAGACTTGCCCACATATTTCAATGCCTACCTTAACTCATTTTCCACCATTGACCTTACCATAATTTCAACCAATTTGCAGCCAGTAGCTTTTATTTCCACTGAACCTGATATGGGCAGTGACCATTATTCTGTCCTCACCACCATTGGAGTTGAGCCTACCTCCATCCAGCACAGGCGCCGCCCTGCATGACTGTTTGAAGCGGGATCCTGGGCAGCTTGGTACTCCGCATTGCCTCCAGTTAATAATGAACTTCCCTCAAATCTTGCAGAGAGTGCTAGGAACTTAGTAGAAAATATAATATCTGCCAGTAACAAGGCCTTTCCTCAGAGCAAAGAAGCTGTAACTCCCAAATACAGCAAGGTCTGGTGGTCCCAGGCATGTGCTGATGCTGTTCACTCAAGTAAAGCAGCAAAAGCTTTACTCATATCCCAACCTTCACAGGAGAACTTAATTAATTACAAACGTTGTCAGGCTCAAGTCAAATGGGAAGTCAAGGCAGCAAAGGAGACCTCATGGAGGAAGTTCTGTAGTAATATAACCTCTGACACCCCAATTGCTAAATTGTGGGGCCAGATGAGGAAACTGCAAACTCCATTTACACGCAAGTCACAACCTTTCCTAATGCACAACTCAATTCTCTCGGATCCTGCTTCCAAGGTGGCTGCCTTGGCTGACCATTATGAACAGGTCCTCTCCTCTCCAACTCCATCTCCTTATCCTAACCATACCCTACTCCCTCTGGCATTGGCTTTAAGTGTTGACCTTTTTTCTCCCCTCAATGCCCCTTTCACACTGTATGAACTAGAAACCTGCTTGACTTCACTCAAGAACACATCTCCTGGCCAAGACAATGTACATAACAAACATCTTTCCAACCTTCCTCCTGACTATAAGATGTGGCTGCTGAGACTTTTCAATGAGAGCTTTGCCTCTGGAACAGTTCCATGGGAGTGGAAGACAGCATTAATAATACCAATTCCCAAACCCAACAAGGCCCTTACCTCCACCAACTCATACCGCCCAATTTCCTTGCTGTCCTGTGTTGCCAAACTAATGGAACAACTGGTAAATAAACGTCTGCACTTTTTTCTAGAACAGAGTATCGCTTTCAGAACTAGCCAGGGGGGATTCAGACCTCGCTTAGCTTCAATTGACCAGGTGACCCGATTAGACACAGCCATCCGAAATAGCCTCAGGACCAAATCCGTGCTTGCTGTTGTCTTGTGTGATTTCAGTAATGCATTTGACAGTCTGGCATAATGGCCTCTTATATAAGCTGAGCAGGTGTGGGGTACAGGGCAGGATCCTGCGCTGGCTGAGAAACTATCTGTCTGACAGATCTTTTAAAGTATTCTTTGAAGGAGAATATTCCTCGCTGCGCAGGATTAAGAGTGGTGTCCCGCAGGGAGCCATCCTTTCTCCATTACTCTTCAATGTAGTAATGAGGGACATTCCTTCAGTCCCAGGTGTACACTGTGCTGAGTATGCAGACGATGTAGCCTTCTACTCTTCTGATACTGACATTGCCCAAGCTACAGCTCGACTCCAAACACAACTTACATCTTTCTATAACTGGTCCCAACAATGGGGCTTAAAACTAAATCCTCTCAAAACTAAATGCATGTTCTTCACAAATAAACGTGTTATTCCTCTGCCTTTAAGTATTGATGGCCAACCAATTGAGATAGTTCATAAGTATAAATACCTTGGTTGTGTCTTGGATGCTCCCAGACTGCGATGGGGTGCACATGTTGAATCCCTAACAACTTCATGTCTTCCTATCATTAATCTACTCCGATCCATCTCACACAGGAATTGGGGTGCTGACCGCACTCTACTAATCAAACTGTACAAAACTCTTGTTCTCAGCCGCTTAGATTATGCTGCTCCTCTCTATGCCTGTGCATCACCTACTCTCCTGTCAAAGTTGAACGTAATACAAAATGCTTGCCTTCACCTGGCTATAGGCTGCCGTAAAACAATCCCAACTCCATCCTTGGAAGTTGAAGCCCATGTTCCCCCCCTATCCATACATTGGCTGGAGATACTGTGCAAACACTTTGCTCGCCTTATTCAACTCCCTGTACCCTCAATAATAAGAGACCTCTTCCAACCAGCCTACAACATTCAGTCCTCTCCATGCTCACGCTCAATTCTGCCTCCCTTCACACTTAATGCTAGGAATACTTTCACAAAACTGAACCTCCCTGTACCTCTCCCACGAAGGCATTCACTTATCTCCCCCCTTCCACCCTGGTTCAACACCAAAGACTGTGTCCTCACAAACTTTTCACTTTCTTCAGTAACCTCCCTTTCCTCCAATAACGCCATTCAAATTTACAATGATCTCCTACAGACAAAATATGTAGACTTCACTTTAGCGTACACTGATGGCTCCCATGTGCAGGACCCTGTTGCCTCAACTTCGGCTGCTGTTGTGATTCCAGCCAGAGGGGTGGTCTTTAGCTGGAAGCTCCGTCCTGAGGTCCAGGTGCTTGAATCTGAGCTATTTGCTATTCATGAGGCACTACACTGGGCTGTAAATAACCTGAGAAACAGTGAGAATTTTGTTGTTTTTACAGATTCCCTGAGTTCTCTACAATTGATTGTGAGTAGGAGACCACAAAATTTTGCCCCTCTTGTGTTTAAAACACAGGAAAAATTAATTTCTCTCAAGCTCTCACACAGCATAAAGCTCCAGTTTGTGCCTGGTCATCGTGGGATAGCTGGCAACGAGGCTGGTGATCGTGCAGCAAATGAAGCCCACCAGCTCCGATATCGTACACTTACTCCTGTCTACATGGAAGAAATGGTAATATCTCTCCACCGTACTGTTCTGGACTACTGGCAGCGGGTCTGGCTCAGAAATGTGCAAGCTACTGGGAAGGGCCTCTTCCTCACCAGGGTGAGAAGTGAGGTAGGAATGTGGCCATGGGCAGCAAACAAGGATAGGATCATAGAAACAGCTCTTGCTAGATTGCGTCTGGGACATGCGGGTGTTAATGCACACCTTGCACGCTTCCACTTATTAGACAGTCCTCATTGCTCATGTGGGGCTGATACTGAAACAATAGAGTATATGCTCATTTACTGCCCGCTCCATAGACTAGCCCGGAACCGCCTTGCCCTCTCACTTACTGCAATCAATGTAGATCTTACTGTTAAGAACTTACTTGGAGGAGGTCCCTTCCCTATAGAGACTCAAAGTGCAATAGTAGAGGTTTTCTCTACCTTCCTTCACTCAACTAATAAACTGAAATCATTGTAATCACCTGTGTACCACGTAATATCCAGGTACTAACCACCTAGCAGCTCACCTTGAAGAAGTACTCTTACTCTGTATAGAACTAACACCTACTTGATTTAATGTTCTCTCCCCTTGCATCATTGTAAGTGCAACCTCAAGTTTATGATGTCATGAACTAAAACTGGACTCTTTGCTTCATTGTATATTATGAGACACCATCTGTGTGTCTCTGCTGTGCTCTGTTTATTTTCTCTGCCAGCTCTGAGATACCTGCAACTCCTACAGTCTTGGGGCTACATGGACCTGTCTCCAAAGCTCCCTTAAGCAGCAACCAAAGAAGAAGACAGTCGGTGTTGATGTTGAGAGTAGGGCGGAAATTTTTACTGTTCCTTAAAATTTTTTACTGTTTCTCAACTGTGAGTCAGCAGCAGAACCCTGTTGAACTGTTCAATAACGGAATAGCTTCCAGTTCACCTATAAAAACGAGCAATAAAGAAAAGAGAGTCAGCCATATCAATAATCTTGGAGTGTTGAACACAACAGTCAACAGTAGGAACAGTTAAAGTGTCATTGACAATGGCCTTTTCTATTTTTATCATTTGAATCATACCACAGTGAAGTCAAAATTTTGAACCCTATTAAATTTTAAATTAATTACCCCTAAATTTTTTTTTGCCATTTCTTTTTTCAATGTATTTGATCAAGCTGGTGCAGATTAGATATAATTTTGATAAAGTTGAAAGGTAGCTAAACCACTAAAGCACTAAAATCATGACTGTGGCACAGTTTTTTGGCTGTGGCATGATAACCTTTGGGCCTCCATTAGTTCTATTTATTATAACCATGGCTAAAGACCCCATTCGAGTCATCATGTTGGTTGCCAGGTAAGGCTTTGCTTTGTATTTTGGTGTAACTTTCTTACCAACCTGAGTAAAGTTCATTGAACTGAGTTGAAAAATTTCTTTTACTTTAACAGAGTCATGTTTATTAATAATATTTCTGAGGGATTCATTGTGGATAAGCTGTCCAAATTGACTGCCACACTCAGGATGATGTATGTTTTTGGTAATATTTCCCGCATGTTTTCACTTTTTTTAAGCTATTGCTGTGCACAGTTGGCGCAATGTAATGAAAATTGATTCTCTTGCGCACATGTTCGCGCAATCTCGGCCATCAATTCTACGTTGCGCTGTCGCGCAGGAGCAGTTTGTGGAGGAACAGACGTAATACTCAGTACAGTATGCCTTTAATTATCTTTTAATAATATATGATTTTTCTTGATACGGAAATTTGGTGAATGAGAAATCTAGAACTTTATTTTAGAAGAAATTTTTTCCAAAGTCATATGGCAACACTCCATGGTCAGGAAGATGTTCCAGGTGCACGGGAATTTATTTTGTCATTTTAACGACCTGCGCGGTGCGCCGTACTATGCTGGTAAAAAAATGCACCCTGCGCCGTACTTTAGAAAGCTAAAATAGTTCTACTATTTTAGTCGACAATATACGCGAGTATATTGACTACGCGAGTCGAACTGACAATAATAAAATGTAAGACATGTCCGGGTTACTTCTGACTCTTCTGCTTGTCCGCCTTGTCGGATACGGAACTTACGGTAATTGTAAACTGCAGCTATTATACATACGAAATGTAAACAGATGGTGTTCAGTGTTGCCATATGACTTTGGAGAAAATTTCTTCTAAAATAAAGTTCTAGATTTCTCATTGACCAAATTTCCGTATCAAGAAAAATCATATATTACTGAAAGATAATTAAAGGCATACTGTACTGAGTAATGTGAGTATTACGTCTGTTCCTCCACAAACTGCTCGTGCGCGGCAGCGCGACGTAGAATTGATGGCCGGGATTGCGTGAACATGTGCGCGAAGAGAATCAATTTTCATTACATTGTGCCAACTGTGCACAGCAATAGCTTAAAAAAAGTGAAAATGCGCGGGAAAATTCACCGAAAACATACATCATCCTGAGTGTGGGCAACACTGAACACCGTCTGTTTACATTTCGTATGTATAATAGCCACAGTTTACGATTACCGTACGTTCCGTATCCGACAAGCGGAAGAGTCAGAAGTAACCCGGACATGTCTTACATTTTATTATTGTCAGTTCGACTTGCGTAGTTGATATAAACTTTGATCTTTGATGACCAACGAAATATAACTTTTTAATAGAGAGACTTCATGTTTATTATACTACAAGTAATGATCTTTATTTAATTAGAGCCATGTTGAAATGTTTTTTTTTTTTCGAAGCCCGCTTCTAGATCATTAATGTTTTTATATATATCCTCGTATTGTTAGGGACACTCGCTGCTTCCATCAGATCTTAAAATGTAAAAGTCTAATAGATACAGATTTGCATGAATAATGCCATTCAATATCACATAGTTCCGTAGTCATATTTTGTATTGCATAGTTTAATAACGCTTTGTAATTATGCCGTATTGACCCAATTTGTATAGTCCATTTACGCGCATTGATATTAGGTATTGATCGTGTCAATTTTGCCGGCCGGGAGGATGTCGGGAATGTAGTCCCAACATTGGCATGCAGGTTCGTACTGTTGACTCATACCCTACTTGCCGCAACCAGTCCAGACTCCAGTCATTCATTAGAAGGCACCGATGGCACATCTAGAGCCATGTTGCCTTCTTTAGTTTTGTAATTCGTGTCAGATTGAATTGTGATCTATGAATGAATATTCATAACTGTGCTGACTCTTAGAACCTGAGTTGACACGTTAGCAATCTAGTTAACTCATGTCCAACCACAACACAATGCAGATACCTACATGCTTGTGTGTACGGTCAGTGCGATTGCGTAATTTGCGTTGTGGCGCGTCCATATTTAAACTATTTTAGCTTTCTAAAGTACGGCGCATGGCACATTTTTTTACCAGCATAGTACAGCGCACCGCGCAGGTCATTAAAATGACAAAATAAATTCCCGCGCACCTGGCACATCTTCCTGACCATGGATTGACTGTAGCATAATTAATAAAATTCCCAAGATATTGACAACAAACCTGCATAGGCCCAGTGGTTACAGGGCAGGGTGGCCCAGTACTCAGACTCCCAGTAGTTACCGTAAAGTGGGGTTACTTTGACCGGCGGGGTAACTTTGACGACGTTTCATTTTTTTAACAAAAACCCCCAAAACTCAAAAAAGATTTGACATAGAAAAATTTTGTCAATGGCCATCAAAGGCCTAATACTGAGGCTATGTAACACAATAGAAAGATTTAAAAAGTTTGCATATCTAATAGGTTAAAAAATTAATAATGTGACCCACGAAAAAGAGCTATTTGCTATTTAAAGCCTGTCAGAGTACCCCCTCTAATTTTTCTATTTTTTGGTAAAATAACTCCAGGTTTTGATGCATTGTAGTAGAACTCTTCTAGTTACATATGCAAAAGACAAATTTTAGGAAAGTGTCATGGTTTGCAAATGGGGGGCGCCACCCCCAATGGGGTAACTTTGACCACTTGATGGCAGCCATGACGGGGTAACATTGACCAGCTTGGAAATTAAGTTAAAATTACCATAGGTACCTATATAACATATTTTATTTTTGATACACCTATTAATGTTTTTTTCTTTATGTTTCAGACTCTACAGAGTCTTATATATGGTCATTTTAACTTAATTTCCAAACCGGTCAATGTTACCCCATCACGGCTGCCAGTAGGTGGTCACATTTTGCCCATCGGGGGGCTGCACCCCCCATTTGCAAACTATGACACTTTCCTAAAATCTGTCTTTTGCATATGTAACTAGAAGAGTTTTACTACAATGCACCACAACCTGGAGTTATTTGGAGTTATTTTACCAAAAAATAAAATTGATTTTACCACCCGGTCAAAGAAACCCCAAGAGCTGGGGTAACAAAGACCATCAATTTTTTAAAATTACATCAAAGCTATGAGAGGCAGGAGCCAGCAATTTTTGGTGAGTAAAGCTAGAGTATAGACATGTATTTTGCATGTTTCAATTTAAGTTTAACTTATCTAGAAAAAAATGGCATTGTTTTGAAAAAAAAAGTGGTCAAAGTTATCCCATTTTACGGCACAGTTCAGAGTACCAGGATTGGAGCAAAGAGGCACGGGTTCAATCCTAGCTCTGTGCGCCAGTTTCTGGACAGAATTGGCAAGGAGGTCAGGCGGTTAAGCACAGCAGAATTGTAGCAGTGAGTTGCGAGTTTGAGACCGCAAAAAGCTGTGAATGTTTTGCGATGTTAAGAATCGGCGACAGGCTTATGGCCTACTAAACGCTGAAACCGCTATTATTATTATATTGGCAGAGCAGAGAGTTTTTTAGACTATCCCTCAAGTTCATTTTTGAGTCCCATAGTAGAAGTAGACCAGTCACCACTCACCAGTAAGGTATCCTGGATAGTGGATAGGCTACCAGCATTATCATTCTTAAGAAATTGGTTTAAATCTTAGGTATATGAGGAAATTAAAAAAGAACTGATTCTAAAAAATCTCTGGTTTGTCACTATGCAAACCAGACTTTAAAGCATGGCACTACATAGAATAGAATAGAAGTGAAGAAGATAAAATGTATAAAAAAAAAATTTTAAAGACCACTTTTTTCATTTGGACTCAAAAGTAGAAAATAATTTTTCTGCAGCTACTGATCTCTGTTTGCTTTCATTCTCTTGGTCTTTTGTATTTCAGATTTTAGATGTTGTAAAATATTTTAACTGAAATACAAAAGACCAAGAGAATGAAAGCAAACAGAGATCAGTAGCTGCTGAAAAATTATTTTCTACTTTTGAGTCCACATGAAAAACGTGGTCTTTAAAAATTTTTTTATACATTTTATTTTCTACTTTTTAGTTTTTTAAGTATTTTATTTTCTCCTTATTAGTCTGTTGCTACACATGAAAAACGTTGTTGCGAGCCAATTTACTTGACTCGACGTACGTATTGATGATACAAAGCGTATCATCGATATACGCAGTCTAAGCACGAATATCCTCTCGAGGATGACGTGCATTAAAGGTTCCCAACCCCTGCTTGTGAGTTCCTTTAGAGTTTATAACTACTGCAAAAAGGTCAACCATCCTACATAATATTCATTTCATTTCAGTTGGCCATGCAAATGCACAAAAGAAAATTATTTTCAAAGTTCTGTAGAAAATTGTATTCAAGGGGATACATTGTTGTTCCCGTATTTATCTGGGTGCGTGGCTGTAATAAAGAAAGGTTCGGTAATATATACGCCTGGAAACGTGCAACAAATCATTGATTATTGTATTGTTATCGGTAGCTGAGCTTCCCTAAAAGTTTCAGAGCGCTAGCTAGCGGGAAAGTTGGTGAAATATTGATTGCAAGATTTGATCATCACAGACAGAGGGACACGAAAGCGAGCTAAGAAAAACGTGGTAAAATAGGCCCATGGCCTGTTGCCAATTCTTGAATTTTTTGTGACTTGATTTGCAAGGGATCCGGCCTTTGGAACCTGATCTTTCTATAACTGACGATTGATTGAGATAACTACTGGACTTATTGCCTGGTCTGTAATTTGCTAGGCATTTTAAGACAAGACTGCACTTATGCTCCTGCATAGTTTGGTCTAGTCTGTTCTTGAAGGCGTTCATACTCGGAGCATTAACGATGCTATCAGGGAGGCTGTTCCACATGTCGGTGACTCAAAGCGAGAAGAAATGTTGTTGCATGGATGTGTTAAAACGCAGTTTTTTAGTTTATAGCTGTGGCCCCTGGTGTTGGTTTTTGTTTTAAATTCTAGTAATCCATTGGGGACCTTGTATAAGCCATGAGTATACTTGTATGCTTCAATGAGTTCCCCACGCAGATGTTGATAACTGAGGCTTGGAAGCTTCATAATCTTTAATCTTTCCTCAAAGGACTTGCCTTTCAAGCCCGGAATTATCCTTGTTGCACGTCTTTGAACACTCTCTATTAAATTTTTGTCCTTTTCAAGTTTCGGTGATCACACAACGTTTCCAAACTCTAGGTTTGGGCACACGACAGCAACAAACAACTGCTTCACAGTCAATGAATGCATCTTTAAATTTCTCTTTTTTATGTACCTGTATTTAAGGCTGGGCAGTATTTGAGAGAGGCAATTAACATCATTATTATTGAATAATTAATATAAGTTTATCTTGCTGAAGAACTTGCTGTATTATTCAAAGCTTTTTTTTATTGCGTTTCTAAGTGGAAGATGTACATAATTTTATTTAAATGAAGAGGGCGTATCTTGCTCTTAATTTTGCCATTTCCATCATATAATTAGTTCATATCTCAGTTATTATTCATTGGTTATTTTTGTTTAATTTTTGTCAATTTTTATTCTAGATTTAGGTATGAAAGATTGTTTAAGGCCAAAATCACTGATGCCTAGTTTGTCATTTAGGTAATTTGTGATATACATTTGATTATTAATATCACACTGTTTGCAATATAAATTTGATTTATTAATTTCACATTTGACATTTGCAGTTCCTTCTTTTGGCTGCTGTCACTGCTCTTCTCATCCATGCTGTACAAAGTTGTGGGGCCACTGCAACCTTATCTTGCATTTGGCGCACTCTTCTCTGTGCTCTTCCAAGAATTCTTCAGGTAATATATTGAGTCATTATTATTATGTTGAATATTTTACAAAAATAGTTTCAGAGATTACAAATTGCTGTAAAATTGAAGCCTAGGTTGTGGAAAAATTGCCTTACAATAATGGCATTGACACCCATATATCCCACAGGTAGGCTCTTGTGTAGCAAGTAAAGTTTATATGGAATTCAGATTTTTGTGCGTGATTTGGAGCTTTGGTGCAGCTAATTACCATAATTAAGAATTTGAACTCTAATGGATACACACTAATACATTCATGTACACTCTAATTAATATTAAATTGTATTTCTTTTTAGGTTGCTCTGGTTCATGCTCATACGGAAGGCAGAAGTTGGCCTCAAAAAAGTTTCTGAAGATAATTTGGAAATAATAGAAAATAAGCACATCTTGGCCTATGGTAAGGTGCATTTAATTTACGAGGATTTTTATTAGTATTTTTTGTTTATTTTTTATGTTATGACCTGCTTTGCTCCTAATTAACCTTTAAATATTACATAGCATTAGCCTTATGGAATGTCACTTATGGAAAAAATACCTCTGTCTGTGGAAAAATTTGTTAAATCTATTCATGCAAGTTTTCCCTTGCAGTGTCAGGCGTGGGCTTCGGCCTGATCTCTGGTGCGTTTGCTCTGGTCAACGTTCTTGCTGACATGACTGGGCCTGGGACTGTTGGCCTGTATGGTGACTCTCCGGTCTGTTGCTGACACTGTGTTCTTGTTTGGTATACATGACATAATCATTCATCAAATGTAACTTGTGAAGCATAAACAAATTGGGCTATTGATGTTACTAATTTTTTTAACCTGATTAAAAATTCTATGTTATTCAAGCCTAAAGTGACCACGTGATAACTTGAGTGTGTGCTCATTGTAATGTAATGCAGTAAAGAACACTCACAAAGGCTCTGGTTGTACTCTATGCACAATCACGTTGTTGTGCATTTTGCACAATCACCTCACGCGAGCTATTCTTATGTACCCATCACAACCTTTGACAGTTTCAATTAAATGCTAAGCATCCCGATTTCTTTGTAGATTATATATTTACCACTCAACATTTGTGAGTATAACATCCATATTGACATACGTACCTAAGTTCTGAAGAACTGTCCCTAAGCTAAACATTTAAGGCTCAACGCACTCTAATGTTTACTAAGTTATTTAATAACTTAATAACTTTTTATGTTAATTAAGTTATTTCTTGTTTGCTGCAGAGTTTCTTCATCGCGACGACATTCACAAGCCTGGCGTTCATCTTCCTGCACGTGTGTTGGGGCGTCATCTTCTTCGCAGCCATGCACACTCGCCGCTACCTCCTCATCGCCTATGTGATCATGTCGCACCTGCTTGCCTCTGCTATAGTGCGTCACTTTCTGTATATCATAAGGAAGAAAAAATTAAACTTTTATTACTATCTCTTACCATAAACTCAACCGCTTGCCATCATGATAGTGCCGCACTTTCCACACACCAACAACTAAAAATAACCAGAATTTCGTTGCAATTTATTACAATTAGCTTAGAGTTTTCTAATTTGAAATAGAAACATGTGCTAAATATGTTAAATATTCAATGTTATTATTTATAAATAAAATGCACTAAATATGTTGAATATTCAGTGTTATTGTTTATGAATAAAATGCAATCTAATGTATTATTTTCATGACATAATTCTATTTTCAGACGCTGCTGAACCCTCTATACGCGGTGACGGTGCCGCTGGTGTGGCTGGTGCTCGTGGTGACGGCCGTGATAGCCTTGTGTGTGGCAGGCGTCTCCCCTGCGTCTGTACGCAACTCCCTCAAGTTCTCGGACAGGGCGTATCGCGTTGACGCCGTGGATGTGGGGGCTACAGACTCCAGGGCTCATCTCTAACACAGTAGCACTGTTTCAAACACTATGACACCTAGGGAGAACTAGGTTATCAAGCTACAGACACTAGGGCGTATCTCTAGCACTGCTTCAAACGCCAAGACACCTATGCAGAACTAGGTTATCAAACTGCGGAAACTAGGGCTCATCGCTAACACTGTTTCAAACACCAAGATAAATTAGATAACGAGGGAGAACTAGGTTCTCAAGCTACAGACACTAGGGGGCTCATCTCAAGCACTGCTTCAAACACCACGGCACCTAGGAAGAACTAGGTTATCAAGCTACAGACTCTAGATCGCATTTCTGGTGACTGTGCAATTTCGCTTCGCTATCTTTAAAAAAGTATTTTTGGCGAAGTGGCGTTGCTTTTGTGGAACCAGCTTCATTTCAAATTAATGGACAAGTTGATAAGAATTTGAATCCTTATTGTATATGTGAACTGTGATGATGAATACATGACTGAAGCTTAAATAGATGGAGTAAACCAGCCCATGGGATATGACAGGTTACCAAAAAGTCGGTTTTTGACTTCCACGACGGCCATTCAACTTAGGATGTGCTCAATTTTCGTGTAGGCAGCGATTAAACGCAATGCCAGCAGGTTTCATTGAATAAATTCTTTTATTTTAAACTCAATAATGTTGTACAGGTTGAGAGCATCTGCTACTGATTTAATGGGTGCTATGTACTTTAAAGTGTATGAGCAGCCGCTGGTCCCATTAAGTAATGCTTCCCAGAACAGAGAAGTGTTATCGTTTTCTTTGCGTTGCTTCCAATTAGGTTATTACTGACCTGAGGTAATACAAGGATGTGCTGTAATTGTGGCGAAAGCTTTAATTCAACCACTACGGCGCCGGCCGTTATTTTATTCTCGTTTTTAATATTAACTTTATTTAAATCTAATTTTTTACCTACTGAGTCGTATTATTAACCTAGTTGCATTAAACAACTGGATTATGTATATTTATATGGCTTAATACGTCAACATGTTCCAAATTTTGCCAGAATCAAAGACATTACATAGAATCTCTAAAATTTTATTCCAGTGAATTAGTTCCGCAAGTCACCTTTAAGAATCAAGTATTTTTATTGGAAGGTCACGAGTACGAAGCGTATCTACCGCTTACACGTCATTTTAACGCGTTTTTCTAGCTTCAACTCTGGACAAAGACGAGCTGTAGTCACGGCAGGCTTTGACATCATTGTATTGATAGAAATTGACAAGGTCCAGAATTATTTCTTAAGGCTCGGGGATAAGAAACGACAGATAAACATATCATTCTTGACATGAAAAGCGCCAAAAAGTAATATTTAGATCACAATAGAGGAAGGCAAGTACAGCGTATTTGGAGTGCGCTCAAGACGTATACACGAGGAACACGTGGCTAAATGAAAGCCTAGATTTCAGGCACCAAAATCACTTCAATTGAATTGCTAGGCGACAAATGAAACCTAATGCTTCATTCCAATGAGCCGCGGTGCCATTCAGTGTACACCACGTGTGTGGAGACGATATCCGAGACACAAGACCTTCGTTTACTCGAAGGAAAATCGTGCAAATATGGTTACAAGGAGTCCCGCCAACAAAGCCTCTAGGTGTGCACCGCTCATCAAGATCTTGACAGCTTACAAGATAAAGAAAGAATCTTCAGTCAACTGAATTACCTCGAACCTGGAATCAAGAGGCGCGCATCATAGTGGCTAACGAGCGATTTTAGACTCAGTGCATTTCCAATACTCTGATTTTGGAAAATATTCCGTTGAACATCCTCCGTACGTAAATACTGACGGCCTAGGCAACTCAAAGGAAAGGTCAACATAAGTCTCGTTCTCACCATCGTGCAGAGACCGCAATCAATTCGTCAATTCGTGACCTAAATCTACACATCACGGAAGAGCTTCGTATCGCCTCGAATTAATATCATTAGTCGTAAAAATAATCTGCATTACCGTAAAATATCTTCGGTCAGGACGTTACCCGAGAACTTCGTCACCTGCCGAAATAGACCGGCATCATTCAAATGTTTAAAGTAACATTAGACATTATGAATAAGCTAAACCTCTAATAAGCATGCGATGCACTAACACTATACAGGCTACACCACTGTTCACATCACCTGCGTCTTGTTTTATTTGAGGAGAGAGGCAGGATAAACATCCCCTTGTTTTTATCCATAACAGTCGCTCAAAGGCAACGACACTAGGAGCAAAGGCACTAATAGTTCTATTTATTACAGGTATTGGTCCATTTAATGTCTGCAGAAATTAATTTCGTTTAAAATTGCGATAATTAAAGATGAACTGTGATGCGTGATCGCATTGTTAGCGTTTGCTTTTTTCACGATTCTGAGAGAACAGAGCTGATAAATGAACTTAATAGGGACAAACTAAAATACGAAGCGTGATTAATTTAAATCACCTTCTTGCGGCTAAAAACTACACTCTGTTAAACACTCAGAAGCCAGAATGAACACCGCGATGAAGCTTTACAATTATAGAATTAAACTTTGCCGACGTACAGCCGCGAAAATATAATATAATACGGTACTCGTAAGAACCTAATTGAAGAAAGGAGATAAGATTTGCGACCAGTTTGCACATGTCCCCGTCAATACTGCATCTACATTTTGTACGACGAAAACTCCCTGGCAAGGCCAACCTGCATACATCAAAACATAAAAATCCATTCCCTACATTTCCTAATATATAACATTGGCAAAAATATGTTGGTAACATGTCGACACTTATTCTTATGTATTTATATCAAGAAGAATTTTGAAGCAATTGTTTTTAAAATTGATCAACTGTATGTCATTAATAATAATTTTGTGGTGCAACTGTAATGTTCCTCAATATTGTCAGTCGTGCGCCAGCATCACGGTCATGTCTGGCAAGCAATCAAAAATAACATAGAATATTTTCTGCAAATAAGAAGTTCTAAGCACGACGAGATGTGCTTCAAAACTGAATGAATAGAACAAATGCTAGGATGTTTACAATACAATAAAGTCAATACGGATCACAAAATAATCCCCGAACAAGTAAATGCAACTTTGTACCGACGGAGCCAGGAACATCATACGGTAATTGACTGGACTGAAGGCAAAATATACATCTCTGAAGAATGACTGCAAACCGGGCGAATATTGGACATCATTTGCTAAAAGAGTGGACGGTAGTGCATGAAATTTAGAGTTGTAAACTCATATACTCATGAGGAAGGGTAATGGCAATGGACAGAGATCAGGCTAAAATATTTCACAACAAAGAACAGGCACTGAAATCGAACATTCGAACTCTCAAGTTAATATCAGAGCTTAGGACGGTCTTCAGCTCACAGATTACACTCTCACCGAGGCCAGGTATATTATTACTAATAAAAAAGTTAGAGCTACGCTCAGTGACATATACTCCAACTCGTCGTACATGCGCCACAACAGCTACACTAAATTATTAATACAAGCACACAAATATATGGTGGACGCCTCGAACTGTAACGCTCATGAGAAGCTTTAGGGAAAATTTTGCTAAGTCAAAAGAAATGTGAACAAGAACTAAAATAATTTTCTTTAACTTGAACGATTTTAATCAGCTTCATACTAGTTTTTTGCCCTAAAATGAACACTAAATGCCTAGTTAATACTAGAGGCATGCGGCAAAATAACAACTGCATTGCTGCAACGCGTAAGAAACTAGTGCTTTTTTTCTCTGATACTGCGATGAAAATGACAGACGAATGCCCGCCCATGAGAAGCAAATAACGAATGAATTTCCCGCGGGCCGAGAGAAGCAAAAGTTACAGAAGCCGTCGTACAAATCATCATGGAGATACCGTCGAGCACGGAGGCCTAAGCCTGCATAGGCTACGCAGCTGACATGATGTCATGTCATGTCATGATGATGTCATGTCATGTCATGTCATGATGATGTCATGTCATGATGATGTCGTGTCATGATGATGTCGTGTCATGATGATGTCATGATGTCATGTCATGATGATGTCATGTCATGATGATGTCATGTCACGATGATATCATGTCACGATGATGTCATGTCATGATGATGTCATGTCATGTCATGTCATGATGATGTCATGTCATGACGACAACACGGACAATACTAAGATAGGCACGTATAATGCTACACGGGACAAGCAGGGATCTGAAGCAACAGCGGTCCAGACGCCTCGCTCTGCACCTTAAATAATAACTTGGCAAGAAGTTTAATTAATACACATGCAAGAAATAATGAAATAATCCACATGCAAGAAATAATGAAATAATTTACATGCAAGATGTGGATAAGCTAAACAACTGCACACCTCAAGTCCCTCACCAATTAACAATAAAATATCCCACTTTATTTCATGCCAAATAACATACAATGAAAAAATCTACCGAGTAATATATTGGTTCATCGAAAACTAATCAATCTGTATTAAAGCCTAATCTATTTACATACGTAAAATAAACAAGCGATCGTGACTTGTATTTAAAATTCCAGACGTGAACGTTCATTATATCTTATTAAAATTTTCACATGAGAACGTTAATTTTAACATCTTATTTAAATTTCCAGATGAGAACGTTCATTTTAACATCTTATTTAAATTTCCAGAACTATTGGTCGTACGTTTAGTTATACGAAATAAATCTCGTCAAATCTACATCAAAATGACATTCAGGAACCTCTCGTAAGATCACACACACATTTATCTAGAGGCAATACGCTTATTAATAAAAGTTACATATAATGGTGATAATTCTCACAGAATATGTTTCATTTCAAAAAAAGTTACATACAATGGTTATAATTCTCACAGGATATTTATCATTTCAAAAAAAGTTACATATAATGGTTATAATTCTCACAGGATATTTATCATTTCAAAAAAAGTTACATATAATGGTTATAATTCTCACAGAATATTTATCATTTCAAAATAGATTCATTACACTGGTTGGAGTGGCAGGATGAGGTGCACGAGCCGTTGTCAGATTGTCATGGTCCGCATGATGACGTCGCAGGAGCCCATCAGTGCTACACACAATATCTAATAAGCTTATACACTTTGTAGTTAGTATCTTGTACAGTTTGTTACGCACTACATAGATTAAAGTACACGGCTTTATTAAGATAACCGCATACATAATTCAATTGCACACATTATTCAGAGATGAGATGACCATATTTTATTTATGAGGCAAAAAATAATTTCAAAATTACGAAGCATTTCACGTTCACAATTCCACGAAAAAATATGCCAAAAAAAATTAGTTTTTAATTAATATATTTTCATTAAGCAGGTAAGTAACAATTTACCCAGGCACGCAACCGGACGCAACGTAAAAGAATAACATAAGAAGCCACTTCTCTCCATTCAATTAAAATTATTAAATTCTCTCTTCTTTAATTACTTATTTTCAAAATGCAAAAATTGCAGAAAACATTCATGAAGCCCTATGAAAACATCCCGACGTGGTCACTACAGAATTAATAAAAAAAAGATGAGGTCGCTCGTGAACCATGAGGCGGCAAACATTTCGTTCTGTTCAGTACATCATTAATAGAACATTAATAAATCAACATAAAATACTTTTACCCCAAAGATCAAATACCAACTCATAATTATCAGCCAATGAGGATCGTTCAACGTTTCAATATATTCCATTATAAGGTTTTCTCTCACTAGTTACAGCCATTACCGCCAGAAAAGTCGGTTGGCGCTTTATAACAAATTCAAATTACAGCCAATTTACCCTGTAGTTTGGTTACTCTAATACAGAGACCAGATTTAACACACGAAATTTGACATTGATGAAATCAAACTATATATGTCACTCAAATTGTGCAGATAAAAAGTCATAAGTAAACTCAGCAAACAGCAAATTTTAGATTAACACTTTGACTACGATTGCTTCATCTTGCACCATTATTTCACTTTTTGTACTGTTTTTAAACAGGGTTGCCAGACGGTTATGTTTTCCGGACAAATTCCGTGATTTATTCTTCTCAATTGCGTTGTCCGGCTAAAATTTATGATAGGGGTACTACCTAATTAAATGTTAAATACTACAAAAAGAAAATAAATGGAATTTTTATAGCGCAACCTACAAATAAACTATAGTATATATTGAGTTATCGGCCTTTTTTGTTCTCGGATTTGGCCGATTTTAGGCAACATAAATTATGTACCACTAGGTCCTGGAGAAATACATTTCGTGGTACGCATATGTACCACTTCGGAGTCAACGTGTTAAATCATATTTGTGATGTTAAAGTCCAGAGAACACACGATTAAAGATAAGAATTGCTTACCACGCGCAACACAACCGTCTAAGTAATGAGAGATATTCAGAAGTTAGTAAGTTCAAAACATTGGAGAAAGTTTATCTTTGTGCAAACTATTTACAGGCAAAACCCAACACTGATGCTACACTCATGATTGAATCGAAGACTGGAGACCTGAATTCTTACTGCGCGCGCTGAATGCTGGACAGTTGAGGTACTGCACAGTATACATATACACAGTGTGCAGTACAGGTTACCGCACAGTATACAAATAAACAGTATAAAGTACTGCACAGTATACATTACATATACACAGTATACAGTACTGCACAATGGTTATCAGGAATTGAAGCGGACTAATTGGTACTGTCCTGACCCCGACACACGCAGCCTTATGACAACTTGAAGAAACTAGAGAAATAAGAGCCTTGTTTAGGCGCGGCATCAGCTGAGACTGGCGTCGTAGCGCCGCCAGAGGGCGTCGTGGCTCGGCCAGTTGACGGCGTGGAGACGCTCGACGACGACCTACTGGACGACAGTTCCTTCACAACGTTGCCTTCGTCGTCCAGCTCCATCTCATATTCGCCACTTACCTGGCTCTTCTGAAAATATTAACTGGTTTCAGTTACAGGTTATGATGTAAAACTATCAATGCACGAAATTGATGAAGATTTATTTGAGCACTAGTACCAAAACCTTTGAATAACCATCAAATTTAGAAGGAAGTTAGTCATAAATATCTAAAGTTGAATTGGTTCCTCACAACAGAACAAGTCCGTTGAAATAATGAAAAAATCACATTGAAAACAAACTCACAAGTGATCATCGGGTGATCACATTGAACGTTGACTCGCACAAGCTTTTTAAGTATATTGAATCTTATAGGATAATGAATCTCAACTCACAAGACCGTGTTAAATGATCACATTGAATCTGAACACACAGGGCCGTGTTAAATGATCACATAGAATTTCAACTCACAGAAGCTTGTTCAGTTATCATATTTAACCTTAAATGACAAGAGCGTGTCAAGTGATCACATTTAATCTCAACTCACAGAAGCTTATCACGTTATCATAGTGAATCTAAAATGCCAAGAGCCTGTCAAGTGATCACATTTAATGTCAACTTACAAGACCGTGCTAAATAATGATATTGAATCTAAAATGCAAAGAGCGTGTCTAGTGATGACATTTAAACTCAACTCACCAGAGCTTGTCGGATCTTAAGGTTTGTGGTCTCCTGCATGCGGGCTTCATAAGCCCTGACGTCGCTCATGGTCCAGCCGTGCCACTCGTCCATCCACACGAAGGCTTGGCGGTGAGACAAGACGTTGATGTTGCGCACTTCCTGCACGTTGAGTTTAGGGTAACAAATGTTCTAGTGTTCATCAATCAAGCACATAAAAGTTATTGCCTGTTAGGGTGACAAAATGTTCTAGTGTTCATCAATATTCCACTCAAAGAGTTATTGCATGTAGTGAAAAATGTGTATAGAAATCCCAGCCTGCAATACCAGATAATGCTAAATATCACATTTGCTTTCAGTACTCTTATTACATTACTACTTAAAACACAAGGAACCACCATGCTCAAGCGTGATTACTTCAAACAATAAGCATGATCAAGTAATCATTACAAGCGTAATGATTACTTAATGCTAATCTTATATCATACAAATAACAACTCGTCTGTTCCTCCTACACGCGCGTGATAAGAACAATTAAAGAACAAAGACCTTGTGCACAAAGTCCTCAACGCGGGTCTGCAGACCGAAGACTGGGAAGGAGACCTGCACGAGCTTGTAGGAGCACATGATGGGGCCTGCCTGGTCACGCCAGCCACTGCTGAGGGGGCCACGTCCTGTCTTGACCGACCTGAACTTGCAGGGGTCCTGTGGGGCAAGGGACAGCAGGTTATACAACTTGCAGGGTCCTGTGAGGCAAGGGACAGCAGGTTATACAACTTGCAGGGATCCTGTGGGGCAAGGGACAGCAGGTTATACAACTTTCAGGATCCTGCGGGGCAAGGGACGGCAGGTTATAAAAATTGAACCCAGCCGTTATTAATCTTTTAGAAGAATATCTAAGATCATCTAAAAGATCATCAATGAGGTATCAAATGTCAGATTGCAGGTTGGACTTGGCTAGCAAATAGTGGGTGCTTGAATAGCAACTCCAGTGACATGGGCAATTGACTTAGTTATCCTTAGCATCAGCAATATGTGCTTACTGTTGCCTTAATCAATTATTTAAGATAACTTGACCCAGGAAGAATGGTTGGAATTAATTTTAATAAAATTACAGATTATTTCCTTTACAAGCTAACAGTAATCATGCCTTTTGTAACTTAATCAATCAGTAATCATGCCTTTAACTGTAACTAGTAACTTAATAGAAAAAAAAATTTAGGATAGATCTAGCAGTACCTTCGAGTTGAGCACACATTTTACATAAATAAAGATTGCACAATTCAAATTTGGTGAACACTACATGCAAACAAATCTCGCTCCAACAACACACCTCGTCCTCCTTGTACTGGTGAGGCCGCACTTCATCCGTGGCAATGTCGATGAAATCTATTGTGGCAGTCTCTCCAGGACATGTTCCGGCATGCACCTATAAAAAATGCTTTATCTTTGGCATCATAATTACTTTACATTTGACTAATTCAAGCAGCCTAAAGTATTGTATTGGCCACAAAAGACTAGGAAAATGTAACTTTCACTGCAGAAAATGGAATTCACAGAAAAAATTTAACTTGAACCTTTATTACAAAATACTGAAGATGGTCAGGGTACTGTACCCATGTGTTATCTTGTAAGATAACAAGTTAGTTCCATTGCCATCAGCTATTTCCATCATCATTGTGAACTTTAATTAACTTTCTGTATTATATGACACTCAATAGTAATTATGAAGTTTGCCTCAAAAGTAGTTTTTGAATTTCCAACAGGAAATTGATGTTTTATGCCCACCATAGACAACAAGACTGTACTTACATTATTATTGGAGCCGTTGTTGTTCTCGTATCTCGTCCAGATCTTCACACAGAACTTGGGGATAATTGAACACTGCAACAAAGCAAAGAACATCTTATGATATTATAATGCACCATAAATGAGAATGACAAAGAACTAGCTGCCTATGTTTGATTCAGACATATAAATATATTTCGTCAGTTTAAATGAAAACCAATTTCAGAATGAACTAATCAAACATTGCAATAAATAAAATAAATATAATATCATACTATAAAGATGCATACTTTAAAACTGTCTTTATTTTATATTCTATTCAAGGAAAATATTCAACAGAAAGCGAAAGGCAATAACAAAGGCGTCATTGCAACAAGTTGTACTTACAGTGTATTCTGCAGGTGCCATTTCATGCACAAAGAAAGAATGTCAATTAAATTAATATAAACAGCATTCACATTCCACACACAAAGAGTGTATACACAAGAACAGTACATGTGAAAACAAACAGTGAGTACAGTATATATGATACATCAATAGCTAATTATGTACATTGAATCTGTGCACAGACGTGTACATAAGTGACTCAAGGGTACACAAGGATATCACTGTATTTTGGTCAGTTCAAATAGCAATACAAGATCAAGACAATACTTATTTGATACTTTTTGTGTTCAGCTAAAAGGTATCAATAACAACAAAAAAATGAGTGATGGGTCACAAGTGAAAGAGAACAAATTCAACAGAGAAAATCATTGTTATTTACATACCAGTGATTGTGTAAGGGTAAAAATTCCAGGACTTCTCCGTCACATAGATGAATCGCGGCATATATGAGCGGATCCAAGAGGGGAGTTTGCTGCAAAAGGGGAAACATATTCAAAAAAGTTTAATCATAATAGCAAGCTAAACCCTTAATGAATCTGTCTTTAATTCACAAACAGTTGGGCAATTGCTATGGACTTGAATTATTTATTAGAGCATAGTTATCTTCTTCCTTTCATATGTATTCACATAACATAACCATCACCCACTGAATACCTACTAGCAATCCTTTGAAAAAAATCAGTAATAATGACGATGTGCAAGCAGAAATGTAAAAAATGAATGAGCTACTAGATTAAACAATTTGTGAAAAGACAGTGGAAAATTAGATTCAATAAAAAGTAAATGAAGAAATTGATGATGAATTACACCAGCAAGCAGCAATAACATATTTTTATTGTTGCAGGAAGAATGCCATCAATAGTTGGATTTTTCTGAGCTACACAACAGATTAAAATGCATTACACAGAAGGAAAGAATTCAATAGTTGGAGTAATGTTTGCATGCATATAATTATTATTTTGTTGAAGTAATATTACAGATAGACTTCTTACCTGGTTAAATGTATTCTTTTTTCTGCATACTGTCCTTTGCCATACTTGGGATCTTCACAAGGCTCATTGACAATTGTTTCAACTCCTTCACCTTTGTCATCACTTTGTTCTGCACTGTGCCGAGCTATCATGTACAGTTGGCCGATGTGGTACTGCAAATAAGTCTGTGCATTAGTTTGAATAAAATATTGTACAGAACAAATTGGCAAGCTGCATCATCAAATGGAATAACATATTAAAAAATAATTATCTTTTATCAACACGATAAAAATCTCATAAAATATATACCTAGGAGCAATGACAATCACAGTGATATATCGTTGAGATATGAATTCATTACAATACAAGCTGCAATAGTACCTATTTACAATACTAGATCATAAAACAATACAAAGATCTGTCTATTAATTCTTCCAATAAAACTTACCTCTTCAACAGTCATGGGCATGCAAATTCTATATTCTTTCAACATTTTGTTAGCATTTAAAAAGAGATTGTCTATGAAAAACTTAAGTATCCTGAAATAGAATGGAAACAATAATCATAACAGAGGTTCATTGAGAAGTACAAGTAAGGCTGTAGATCATGCATGAGGTATTGGAAGCATTGTGGGTAGGAACAAATTAGAACAAGAGGTTTTCTAAAAACCTGCCTCAAAAATATAATTGTCTTTTGTTTGTGAATAACAGCTAACAGTTATAAAAAATGTAAAAATAATTTTCTTGGACATAAAAAATGCCTCAACAGCTACCGTATACAATTTATTCCAGTAGAGAAAGTTGCACAGTTCTGTATTAGGCACAGCCAATGTACTAGAAATTCTTGCACTGCTGAGAAATCTTAACTGCCAACTGAAACATTATATCTGTATATATGAAAGTTTGATTGAAGACCAGAGCATACTTATTATTAACAATTTTCTTATTGGCCTTAGATAACTAAACTTGGCTTTAGATAACTAAACCTGGCAAATGAATACCATACTTAAACCTGGCTTTAGATAACTAAACTTGGCTTTTGACAACTTAGCTCCTGACAACTAAACTTAGCTTTTGATAACCAAACTAAGCCAATTAAATCTGAATTAAAATATTTCAAGCCTTACAATTTGATAGCTAGGTCAATATTTTTAAATATTTCAACTTAAAGGCTACAGATACCTGGTATTGATTTTTGTGTGATTTGAATGACAATTAAAAAGCACAGATGCAATTAGATGCTTCCCTACAAAATATTTTGAGCTATATTGAAGATTTCAAGTTCAAAGGAAATCCAAATTTTTTTTTCATCTAAATTTTGGTAAACAGCATTGCTGAAGGCTGTATTTCAAAAAATATATAGTTAAAAAATTTTTATATACATTTTTTGTTAATTTTAAAAGTAACTTTAAGTTTAGATTTCAAAATTTTTCCTTTATTTTAACTATTTTAATCATTTCAGTAGAATGTCAATATGTATAATAAACTACACAAAAATATCATAGAGGCTTTTGAAAAGCTTGCAAAGGCTACACATAGCATATTACAAGAATAAAGTTGCTACTGTCTATACACTAATGCAGACAGTGTAGTATCTACAACACTAATTTCATCACATTTTAAATGTAAATTACATTTCGTATGGTTATAAGTTATTACTATTAATAACTCAATAAAAAAAAGTCTGGTGATCAATACAGACAACAGCATTGTGATTTGCTATTAAATAATTGACATAAATGGCAGATATTTAACAATAAACCAGAAATTAATTTTCAAATAATGGCAATTTAAGACCACAATTTCCAATTGGACTCGCAGTACTCACTTGTCACTCCTCCACTGTTACATGGATATATTTTTGTTTGCAATGGCTAAGAAGTAGTTTGAAAAGTTGCAACTTGCAAATATTACAACATAAATGGCTATGGCCATACCTAGAGTGAGGTGTTATTTTAGGCTTTTAGGGATTTACTAATAACCTGACTCAGTGAATGTGGCAAAGCAGAGAGTTTAGTGTCAGGACTGAGTGTCAGGCATGGTGACAAACCAGAGATTTTTTAGAATCAGTTCATTTTTAATTTCCTTATTTACTCAAAATTTAAACCAATATCTCATACATCATGATGATGTATGATAATGCTGGTATCCATGATCATTTACTGTCCACTTATAGTACTCAAAATTTAACTCGAGGAAGAGTCTAAACTTCAAAAAACTTTCAGCTTTGCACTATGCCTGACAGTGACATCTGATGCATGCTTGGAATATTGTGCAGGGGCAGAAGTTTCCTAAAATTAGAGGTAAAATATACATTTAAAAATTTCTTTTTAAAGACAACACTTCTAAAAAATACAGTGTCTCCAATGTTAAAGATGTACAATGAATTTCTCATTTTATTTTTGAATATTAAAAAAATTAATTTTTCAATTTTTTAATATATAAAAATTCTTTCCAAAATTATTTATTCTGCCAATTGATTCATGTGTTGCCTCTGACTTCACACAAGTGTGCAAAATTCCAGATCAATTGGACAGGTAAATGTGTTGAATATCAGTTATAAGAATTGTAGCTGACAAAACTATTTTTTCGATTTTTTTAATATAAAAAAAATTTTTTTAATAATTTATTTCATCAATTGATTCTTGCATTGTCTCCAACTTTATGCAAGTGTGCAAAATTTCAGATCGATAGGATAAGTACAAGTGTACTGGTATTAGGGTAAATGCGGTATATTCCGACATCGTAGGTAATTCCGACACTTCTCAACTTTTTCCTTTATATTAAGCTTTATCTTAGTTCCACACATTCGTTGATGGTTGAAATAGTGATGTCATACTATTTCGCGCCATACTATTGCCAAAACGCTAGGTCTGGGCCGTCTGGCATGAAAATGTTAAGATCCAAAGAGAGACAGTGCACGTCACCTAGTGAGAACATCAAAAAACGTGTCAAAGTTGATAGTTGACCTAGCTCTAACTAATAGGGATAAACTGTTTGTGTAGAAAGAATATTATGGTTTGAGATTTTTAAGTAAGTCTGTGAATATATTAGGAATCCTTCAAGTATACTTGTATTTGCTGATTTCAAGTGGTAAATAAATTAATAGATGATTAAGATTAAGTTGAGCGACGGTTTTAGATACATAAAAACTAATTCCGACACAGCTTGGAATTAGACATTTAGACACACACAGCTTGTTCTGAGCTGTGTCCAAAAATTAAAATTTTCTTAATTGAAAGCTAAATAGCTTTTAATTAAAAGCTTACTTAAAAAATTATACATTTTTCATTAAGCTCGTTCTGAGCTGTGTCATATTTCGATACAGCTCACACAGGGCGTTGGAATACCATTATACCAACACAGGGTGCCAGAATTACAAATTAATAGAGTTTGAAGAGCTGCCAGAATTAGTTTCACAATATGCCAAAATAAGCCAAATTTAGTCACACACAGCGCCGGAATTCAGGGATTTTTTAGGTTTGAATTCTTAAGGCTTTTCAATACATATGGCAATTGGCATCAGTTTATAAGGTTCCATTGTTGACGTAAACCAATTAGAACTTGAGTTGCGCATATGCCATACAGTGCTATTTTTATAGCCGTCATTCGTTTTTCAGTTTTTTGAGGATGTGGAGTCGTCCTCCATGCACCTCACGGCTTAACAGGGCTCCCTCAGCAGGCAAGCCAAAAACCTGAAACATGAAGAACCATCAGATGTCACCAAAGTGGTACGCAAAGGAGTAATGGGTCTATTGGTTAGTACCGTCAACCAGGGCTACTCGGGACAGGCGGGGCTACTCGGGACAGGCCTATGACACGGCGTAAAACTGTTGTAGTAGCGAAACTAATTGGAATATCGCAAAACTAAAAATAGTGGCGTAAACGTAACTATTTTTCCTATCTATCTAGTATAAAGGAAGTCGAAAAATACTACATTTACTTGCTTTGAAAAATTCCTGAAAAAAATGGTGAAAAACTATGTTTTGTAAAGTTACAACTGCTAAGGTATGTAGCAAAAAAAATATTCGCCGTATTAAAAAATTTTACTTACATAAAAGTTGCACCCAGGTGTCGGCTTGAAAACGTAATTGACAGAATTTGCCTATCTAATTCCAAAAAGAAATGGCAGCCATTTCCGCACGGCGGGGCTACTCGGGACACCCCCCCGGGGCTATTCGGGACACCCCCAAAAACGCATTAAGGGTAGAACCTCAGTTAGCAAAGGCTTCAATTACGAAAAAAATTGATTAAAAACAAAGAATATTGATCACATTTTCCTTGCTCAGCGAAAAAATGTCTCTTATCAAAAAATTAGTGCATCATCAGTCATCTTAAAATTGTGCATAGCTTGTCATGTATAGAATTGTGCACCAGGCATTATAGAATGAAAAGTAATTGACCTAAACTATGATTTATTTCTCCAAAAGATAGGCTGGTTGTCACTAAAACATTCCTTTCAGGAAGTTAATGATCACGCGAAGTTAATGATCACGCAAAGTTAATGATCACGCGAAGTTCAATACCATGTGAAGTTAATGATCACGCAAAGTTAATGATCACGCGAAGTTAAATACCACGTGAAGTTAATGATCACGGGAAGTTAATGATCACGGGAAGTTAATGACCACGTGAAGTTAATGATCACGGGAAGTTAATGATCACGTGAAGTTAATGATCAAGGGAAGTTAATGATCACGTGAAGTTAATGATCACACTAAGTTAATGATCACGTGAAGTTAATGATCACGGGAAGTTAATGACCACGGGAAGTTAATGATCACGCGAAGTTAATGATCACGCTAAGTTAATGACCACGGGAAGTTAATGATCACAGGAAGTTAATGATCACAGGAAGTTAATGATCACGGGAAGTTAATGATCACGTGAAGTTAATGACCACGGGAAGTTAATGATCACGCGAAGTTAATGATCACGCGAAGTTAATGATCACGCGAAGTTAATGATCACGCGAAGTTAATGACCACGGGAAGTTAATGATCACGGGAAGTTAATGATCACGCGAAGTTAATGATCACGGGAAGTCCCAATTAAAATGATGTGAAATTACGAGCCTTCCTGTAAGCTTACAGGGAACATTTCAATGGGGGAACATTGCTCTCCACCTCTAGTGAAGATATTGGTGATGTTTTTCTTGCCCCGATGGCCAATCTGAGGAACCTATTTTGAATTTTGTTTAGTCTTTCCAGATGACTGCCTGCTGTTGTCTCATAGAACATGGAACCATAGTCCATTTTGCTTCTTATTACTGCCTTGTAAAATTTGAGCAATGTTTCTCTGTCTGCTCCCCAGTGATGGGCCGATATGGACTGCATGACATTAACCTTCCCGAGGCAGCTCACACTTGAAATGTTTATTTGGTCCCTCCATCCCAAGGCTGGAGAGTCTAGAGTGAGGCCAAGATACTTGTATGTTCTGGGAAATTCTATGTTGAAATTATTGATACTAACCTGAGGGTTATTAGCATTTTTTCGCGTAAACATTAGACATTTTGTTTTTTCTAGGTTTAGTTGGAACCC